CCAATCCGCCCGCCTCGGCCTCCCAGAGTGCTAGCATTACAGGCGTGAGCCACCACGCCTGGCCTATTAAACATATTTTATTGCTAAAAAATATTAATGATTATCTGAGTATTTAGCTAGTCAAAATTGTTTTGCTGGTGGAGGGTCTTGTTGTAATGTTGATGGCTGTTGACTGATCAGGGTGGTGGTTGCTGAAAGTTGGGGTGGCTGTGGCAATTTCTCAAAATAAGACAGTGCTGAAGTTTGGCACATCAATTGACTCTTGCAAACTTTTTCTCTGAAGCATGCAATGCTGTTGATAGCATTTTAAGCACAGTAGAATTTCTTTCAAAATTGGAATGAACTCTCTCAAATTCTGCCACTGCTTTATCAACTACATCTATGTAATATTCTAAATTCTTTCTTGTCATTTCAATAATGACACAGCATCTTCACTGGAAGTAGATTCCATCTCAATAAACCATTTTCTTTGCTTGTCCATAAGAAGCAATTCAGCATCCATACAGTTTTGTCATGAGATTGCAATAATTTAGGCCCATCCTCAAGCTCCACTTCTAATTCCAGTTCTCTTGCTGTTGCCACCACATCTGTAGTTACCTTCTCCACTGAACCAATGAGGTCTTGAACGCCTCAAAGTCATCTATAAAGTTTGGAATCAACCTCTTCCACACTCCCGTTAATGTTGATATTTGGACCCCCCGTGAATCATGAATGTTCTTAATGGCATCTAGAATGGTGAATCCTTTTCTGAAGATTTTCAACTTACTTTGCCATGATCCATCAGAGGGAATCACTATCTATGGCAGCTATAGCTCTACAAAATGTATTTCTTACATAATAAGACTTGAAAGTCAAAATTACTCCTCGATCCATGTGTTGAAGAATGGATGCTGTGTTAGCAGCATAAAAATAATATTAATGTCCTTGTACATCTCCATCAGAGCTCTTGAGTGACTAGGTACATTGTCGATGAGTAGTAATATTTTTAAAGAAATCTTTTTTTCTGAGTAACTTCAATAATAGGCTTAAAATATTCAATAAACCATGCTGTAAACAGATGTGCAGATGCGCTGTCACCAGACTTTGTTGTTCCATTTATAGAGAACAGGCAGAGTGCATTTAGCACAATTCTTAAGGGCCATAGAAATTTTGAAATAATAAATGACTATTGACTGTAGCTTAAAGTTACCAGCTTTATTAGCCCTTAATGAGAGAGTCAGCCTATCCTTTGAAGATTCGAAGCCAGGCATTGATTTCTCCCCTATGGCTTTGAGAGATCGCATCTTCTTCCAATATAAGACTGTTTTGTTAACATTGAAAATCTCATTTAGTGTAACCCTTATCCACTATTTAGCTACATCTGAATAACTTGCTGCAGCCCTACATCCACACTTGCTGTTTCACTGTGCACTATTATGTTAGGGAGACGGCTTCTTTTATTCAGCCTCACAAATCAACCTCTGCTAGCTTTAAACTTTTCTTCCTCAGCTTTCGAGAGAGTTAGGGTCTTGCTCTGGATTAGGCTTTGGCCTCAAAATGTTGTGGCTGGTTTGATCTTCTGTTTGGATGACTAAAACTTTCTCCACATCGGCCATCAGGCTATCTTGATTTCTCATCATTTATGTGCTCATAGGAGCAGCATCTTTAATTTTCTTCAAGAACTTTTCCTTTACATTCACAACTTGGTTCACTGTTTTATGCCAGAGGCCTGGTTTTCAGCCTATCTCAGCTTTCAACATGCCTTCCTCATTGAGCTGAATCATTTCTAGTTTGCTATTTGAAGTGAGAGATGTGTGATTCTTCCTGTCACCTGAACACGTACAGGCCAGCCATTGTAGGGTTATCAGTTGGCCTAATTTTAACATTGTTGTGTCTCAAGGAATAGGGACGCCCAAACAGAGGGTGAGAGATGGGGGAATGGCTGGTCAGTGGGGCAGTCAGAACTCACACAACATTTGTCAATTAAGTTCACCATCATCTATGGGAGTGGTTCGTGGTGCCCAAAACAATTACAACATTAACATCAAAGATCACTGATTAGAGATCACCATAACAGACATTTAATAATGAAAAATTTGAAATGTTACAAGAATTACCAAAATGTGACACAGAAACACAAAGTAATCACATGCTGTTAAAAAAAATGTTTTAAAAATGACACTGATAGACTTGCAAGGTTGACACAAACCTTTGATTTGTAATACATGTGATATCTTCAAAGCACAATAAAGCAAAGCACAATAAAGTGAGATATACCTATACTCTCTACCGATAGTAGTACTTAATTCATAGAGATGTTGTGAAAATTAAAATCATCCATGTGAAAGTTGTTTAAAATTGTACTTGGAATGTAATGAACAAAAACAGGTAGTTTGAGGAAAGTCATCAAAAATAAGATGAGTAACATATTAACCCTTTACTGGGAAAAGCCAATGGTTCCCCCAAATAAATTTTTCAGAGAATACAGTATATTTGAAAAAAAAAAATCAAATATTTCTGAGCCTGATCTTTAGTGCTGATAAAATTTGAGAGCTATTGGAAATTAATGACAACTTATTGAGTTTCATTTCTGTGTTTCTGACATTAGTCTCAACGCACATTTTTTATGCTTATGGTTCCTTGTTATTTTTCTCTTCAAAATAGAAATTATCCCATTTTAAAGGCCATGTGGAGTTAAATCACGTTATTTTTCAGACCAGAATGTCAGGTTCTATGAACATCATATGAAATATTCGAGAATGTGTTGCATATTCTCCATTTGCCCCTGGAGATCCTCTCAGCCCCAACCTGTGCTTTAGGAGATCTAACTCAAATAAACGCATTAACTGGGCAAACTTGGCCTCTGGCTCCCAGTTAATTCAACCAATGGAAGGCACTGGCTGTGGTCAGAGGTACAGTGTTTAATCCATTGGTTCACTCCCTACCATGCCTTGGTTTGACAAAGGCTGCGTGCTCTATGTCTTTGTCCATGGCCCTTGTCAGGCAGGCCACAAAGTTTCAATAATCACCCTCCACTTGATCCTTCAGGCCTAGGAGTGGTGACAGCTTCCCAGTGCATACTTCACAACTCTCCTTTTTTTCCTTTAACACTTTCTAAAGCTTTATAAACAGTCCTTTTATTAAAGGTCCTTATTCCACCTCTCGAGTGTGCCTTCTGGGAGCCTGATTGTCACAGAGAACAATGATTGATCCACAGAGACACAAAAGAGAACATCACAATTTTGCAGATTACTGGGACTTGTAGACTATGTTATTGAGACATGACCTTTGGCCGTAAGGCCAAGTGGCCAAAAGATGAATGACAATTAAAGTATAAAATTTCTCAATACCAATACTGTAGTTACAGGATTTGGCAGAAATGGCTATCTGTACAGTAAATAATTCATGCTTTCCTACTAGAGTGAAGTTGTCATCAAAGCCTCGCTGCCCAGGCAAAAATTACATTTTTCTAGCTCAACCTTTATATCCAAATATGGGCATGCCATTGGTGGGTGTAGATGTGACACATGTTCCACAGTCTGGCTTTCAAGAGGCAGGCGTGGACTTGTCATTGTCTTTTTTCTTTTTCAGTGGATAAAAGTAAAGGACTACAATGTCTCCCAAGAGGGAAGAATCCCAGGTCCTATTTGGAGAAAAGCTATTTATTCACCAACTAGGATTACTGGTGCTAAAATGTTATGTGAGCGAGATACAAACTTTTATTGTGTTAAACACCTGACATTTTGAGGTTTACTTATCATGACAACTAGCCTAATATACAGTATGGAAATTTATTTTAGGGATGAAATCCTTTCCTAGCTTTCTTGTTTAGGGCTACACAGTCATCTACCACTGTTTACATCCTGGTTTGCCCAATGTGAGCTATCTTCATATTTTCATTATCCAGGTCTTCCCTATGCTTTGTATCCTATACCAAATACATGCGCCTTCTTTGGACTTTTATCTTTTTCTTCTTAATTGTAATTCAGTGCTATCAACTGCAACACCTGCTACATTTTGGAAACCAGAGCAAAAATGTGCTATCGTTGGCCATTTTGAGTTCAGTTCTTTCTCATTTCTCATTTCCTCCTTTACCAAGTTGGGCTTTGGGTTAAACTTCATAAACTTCCACTTTCTGGATGAAGATGCATCTATTCTATGCTTAAAACCAAACATCTTTTCTACTATTGTGAAAAAGTAGCTAATTTCATTTCTTTCTCCAACCTGCTCCTAACCACAAGAGGTGTTATTTGTGTCAGCCTCCCTTGGGGACTGCTTCACCTGTCAAAGCATCTCAGACATGCATGAGGAAGAAACATACGCCTCTTTGCAGTGGGATAATCCAACACCAAACCCTAACCAGAAATGTCTGCCTTCCAACAAATGCTCGGGTAAACAGTTCTAATTATTTTGTATAAGACTTTAGAGTTTATGTTTGTTTTGTTTTCTATCATGAGCCTAAGATGTTTCTTCTAATCTGAGAAAACCTACCTAAGAGTATTATAATGTGCAGGAAATGCTAAATGAAGTCAGTGACGGAGGAGTAAGTAAAGGTGAAAAAGGAAAAAAGCAATGGAATTGACAAATATGTGGTATGTTCTCTCTCTCTCTCTCTCTCTCTCTCTCTGTCTCTCGGGAAAAAACAAAGAATTCCTAGATTTGAAAAATAAGGGAAAAAGTCATATAATTTTAATTATATTCGTTGATGCATAAAACGCTCTGTAAAATTATCTGATAAATACTAAGAAATAAAAAGAAAACGAATGTTGAAAAATAGACATCTCATTGGCCTGGAGCTGTCTGCTATGGCGATCAGTTCTGTCTTTATTACTTAGTGTCTGTATTAGTTTCTTTTTGTTAGTGTAGCAAGTCACCACAGACAAATTTATTAACTTATAGTGCTAAGGGGCAAATGTCAAAATGGTTTGCACTGGGCCAAAACCAAGGTGTTGGCAGTGCTCTAGGGAAGAATTCTTTCTCTTGTTTTTTCTAGTTTCTAAAGCTGCATTTGTTGCCTTCTTTGGCTCATGGTCCCTTCTTCCATCTCAAAGCCAACAGCATAACATCTTCAAACATTTCTCTGCCTCCGTCATCACATCATATTCCGTCCCTCTAATCTCCTGCGCCCTGTTTATAACCCAGGCTAATCTTCCCATCCGTAAATCCTTGACTTAATGACATCTTCAGAGTCCCTTTGCCACATAAGGTAACATTTAGAGGTTCCAGGGATTAGGACATGGACATCTCGGGCAGGGGAATTATTCTGCCCACCATAATATCCAAAGATGAATTTTATCTATTTTTCTCTGATTGGTGTTATGAATATAACAAATCATGTATTCTTCATTTTTTCTCCCTGAACAGTTAGAAAATTAGCTGGAAAAATATTTTCCTCATCCAAAATTGTATATTTAAAAGGAAGTATCTTTGAATTAATCATAGTCAAGTGACACCGAAAAGAGACAGGGAGATGTGAGACAGCATTCTTGCCCTCAAAACTTAAAAGCTTGCTACCTGGCTTGTGATAATCCCTAAAAGATTGTTGGAAAAGGATACATATAATTATTTAGTGAGCCGTGACATATAGATAAGGAGAACAGGAGTATATTATTAAATGTTTTCAATTTAGCACTTTCCTAATCACATGTATTTCAAATTACAACCTGCATTTCTAAGTATTTGAACAAAGATTCTCTTTTTCCCGTTACACATAGTTACAGATTCCAGGCCTCAACAATTCTCCAGTAGGAGTGCCCGATGTTAACTCCTTCTGTTTCTCAGTCTCACCCCATCCCCACCCCAACCCTTCATCTACTTTCTCTAACTCAATTTCGTTGTCCCAACTTCATGTTTAGGAACATGGTGTCTTGTGATGGGGACTTACTGTATTTTCTGCATGGGATTATTAACAACGTCCATTTTCTTGGGCATCAAGTGTAAGTACAAAAT